TTAACCCGCACTGAGAACAAGCAACACGCACATGTGTAATTAAATTCATTAAGGTTTTAATTAAAATGGCAAAAAGTTATTTTGTGAGATATTGCACTTTTTATTGTTTACTGTAATTAAAAAGAGTTTATTTCGTGACTACCAGTGTATTTCTCCTGCTGCTGCTGCTGCTGCTGCTTTGTGAATGGTTTATGTTACATGAAAAAAAAACACACGAATTAACATAAATAATAAAAGCCATAGCTTATGAAACTCGAGCTGCACATATCTGCAGAGATTGCTTCAATATGCAGTAAGCTGTTTCTTTATGTGGAGCAGGTGTTGGGTGAAGGGTTTGCTCTGTCAGAGGTGAAGATTTTAAAGAAAGAAAGACTGGCTGCTTCTCATTTTCACCCTTAACCACATAGTGCTCAGTGGTCATTTTTGAATGACACCTTTGTCTTTTTCTTCTTTTTGCCCACTTCTACAAGTTCTGCAGTGACTTTCTGCCTTTCTATCACTCTCAGCCATTTTGACCTTGAACCCCACATTGACAATCTCAGTGACCCAGACCCTTCCTCACACATGAACTACCTGAACCCTTTCACAGCATTCATATCCACTTTCCACCACACACAGGCTCCCTTCCTCCCAAACAACAACCCACTTTGATGACAGGGGTTCACCCCCACTGCATTCATGCTCTCTATAGCAAACCACAGGGTGGAATTTCCTAAACAGTTGCCTTTGTCCTGAATGGCTTCCACACTGCAAAATAGCTGTGGCTATATGGCTGCATTTCATAATAAACTTGCAAATAAAAAGTATCTGCTAAGGCTGATTCATTTTAGAAGACAAATTTAAAAAAATGAGAACATTTTTAATGCAAGTCTGTACCAGATGCAGCTTTCATTTTATGAAAAGAACTCTGACCCATGCTTCAAAACATAGTTTCACTCCCACTTTGAGGCCACAATAAATTAAACTTTTTTAAAGGAAAAGAAACAGGCAATGCACCACCTCTTTCTGTTTTGTTTTTTTTTTGTCTCTAATATAAAGCATTACGGTTATCCCACACATACGCCTGCATGCACACATAAGCATAAACACATGCCCGTGTGCACATGTAAACCGCTTAGCTACTCTTGAGGTAATAAGTATGGATTCACAGGCTATAACACTTGGGGTGGAGGGGGCTGGGTTACTTAGCAACTAGCCTGTTGATGTCCAAACAATGTTCATGTCGTCAAAGCGGCTGGTTGTAACAGACTGAGGTTCTGCTGCTGGTGCAGCAGTCTCGCTGGTGTGTTCCTAAAGGGAAATGAATGAACAGACACACACAAGCTGCTGAAGCCAGAGATACACAGACTAACACAAAGTGCTTATGGTTCATTTCTTAGAAATATTGACCATACCGCTGCACTTGTCATTTTATTGTCCACACAGAGGACATGCAGTGCTCACAGCTGGCAGAGTGGGCCGTCTGTGGAGGAAGGAAAGCCTTTTGCTCACTAGACTATACAGGGATGTGCCATTTCTACAAAGTCTGCAATCTGTAGAGCTATTTTGTAAAATCTACAAAAGGCAAATGATAGCAGAGGAAACTTTTTTGTGGTTTTTAACTTTACCTCAAACAAAGCTAATTATAAGCAAAATGCACAGAGAATTTGGAGACTAACAGCTACAGCTTTATTGAACAGAAGGCACACAATCCTAAGGGAAAGTCAGTTCTGCCTACCAGTTGTAGCCTGTTTTATCCGTCGAACACATGCATTGCTCTTAAAAGTCATCTCTGGTGTTTGTATCAGCAGCAGAAATTGTGCTTTGGTGTGTACATGCTGGAAAAAACACAAATCACTTTTCTTCTGGTGAGAGATTTTGCAAAGAGTCCCTGTGCTTGAAAAAATACATTGACTCATAAATCATTCATGACTCGATATTGATGTACTGTCCAAAACACTGAAATGAAACGAATAGATTGCTAATTTCATAATTGATGGCTGCAGTGTGAGATTAAAAGTAGCAGCGGGGCTGGGTTTTTTGTGTCAGTGCTGATTACACTGAATGCCACTGCAATTTAGGAATTAGGTTTCAATTGCCATCTGTGTTGGAATATGTCTTCCAGCCAATTGCTGGCAACAAGAGAAAGTGAAAAGCCATTCAAATATAGCAGTAGTAGATAAGAAACCAGAGTCAGTGACTAGGCAGCCATGGATAACATGTTAAAGGTAACTTTAGGACAATGCTCATTCACACTCTTATGTCAAATTTCTAAGGTTAGCACCTCATGTGTGTCTGCTCTTTGATAGTATTTGTCTGTGACCTTCAGAACAAACAACACAGTGTTGCATTTGACCCATTTCACTGTGACAAAACCACACCATTGCCTCGCACAAAAGTTTATTTCCGACCATTTAAAACACTAGAACTAAAAGTTTGAATCAGCACAATTTAAGTGTTGCACAATAATTTCTACTAGTGGTGAGTCCTAGATACTTAATTGAGTTACACAAACAATACAAACAATAGCTTTGTTTCTGTTTGGTCACAAGTCATTGGGTCAGTGACGGCACAAGCAAGAAGCTGACTATATGTCTAAATATGTCTCTTTCCCTCCAGATGACCAAAACAGGAAGGTCTCAAGTTGTACACAACATACTTAGCTTGATTATTTTTTGCTTCCCTGGCCCATGAAATTATTTTCATCTTGCTTCTGATGAACTAATGACAATGGAGGTTGCACTAGCGAAGGAGAACCTTAGTAATGACATTATAAGTCTGGGTTTATAAAATGTATTCATTTATTTTTCTCTTGTGCCAGACTGAAGGTTTTAAGGCTCTGTATGTCTTTAAAAGACATGTTGCTTTGACATTAATCATAGGGAAAAAAAGACAGATACACTTTTTTAAAAATGTTTTTTACGAGCAGATTTTACACGTTTAGACATTTTCAAACAAGATGCTCTAAATGGGGGCATGTTAAATCATGCAATGATCCTCGAAGCTCCAGCTACTCTGGGGGATCTGTGATATAAGCATCAGCAGTCTGGAGTTATCACAAATGGTTCTTTCCTTCTTGGGCAAAGTAAGATAATAATAAATGGCATCTGAAGGCATTGAGCAGGAGAACGGCACGGATAAAACTGATTGGAGTGATGAGAACATGTTAATGGAAAGCAGAGAGCTGTAACTGTAAAACAGTATGTCTTGTCATCTTTATAATGATATCCAGAAAAGACTGACTTATGTGAACTGGCTGATTGTTTGCATTCAGTATTTAATGAGGAAATATTAACCATTCTCAGTTCATAGGAGTTGCTGTATTGCAAATGTACTTAAGAAAGTTTAAAATGCATTTGTTATCAGTAAAAGCAAACAAACAAAAAAACAAATCGAGAGAAAAAGCCACACATACAAAGGAAGGAGGAGCAGCAAAATTAAATATGCTTCAGTTCAGTTCAATTTAGTTTCATGTTTATAGTGCCAAATCACACCACAAGGTGCTTTATATTGAAAGAAGAAGACCCTACAATATTAAAGAGAAAACCTCAAAAATTAGATGTCCCCATATGACCAAGCACTTGGCACTTGACAGTGAGAAGAAAAAACTCCCTTTAAACAGGAAGAAACCTCCAGCAGAACCAGAATCAGGGGCAGCCATCTTTCACAACTGGTTAAGGGGGGGTGAGGGAAAAGAGAGCACAGAGAGACAGCACAAACAACACCCACGGGAAAGAGCCAACCCTTCAGGTGGGTTAAAAGGATGTGGAGGTGTTATGAATTTCTTACATCTAAGATAAATAAAGGATGGCATCTGCTTTTCTACTACGCTTTTATTGGCTTCTGTATGGCACCTCTCGCAAAACTTAAAGTTTTGATTTTTGTCTCCATTGTTAAAATAAGGAGAATAATGTAGTATAAATTATATATAGGCTAAAAATAGGTGAAAGTAGATATTTCTGGAAGATGTGTGTAACAGAAAAACTACAAACTAAAGGAGAGGGTAGACAAAAGATAATAATATAAAAACACAGAGGGAAAAGAGGTGAGATGAGAACAAGAAATGCTCAGTGCACCATGTGTGCCCCTCTGCAGCCTGGTTAAGCTTCACCTGATCCAGTCCTAACTATAAGCATCATCAAAAGAGGAAAACTTGAAGCCAGCATTTAAAAGCAGAGAGGGTGTCTGTCTCCTGATACCAAACTGGGAGCTGTTGCACGGGAGAGGGCCCCGATAGCTGAAGACTCTGCCTCCCATTCTACTTTCAGAAAGTCTAGGTAAGGCTGCAGACTGAGCGAGAAGTGCTCTGTTGGGATGACATGGTTTTGCAAGGTCTTAAAGCTATCATTGGGATATTATCATTCAGGATTCATTTTAAATTCAGTCCTGGATTTAACAAGGACTCCGTGAGAAGAAACTAATGTAGCAGAAATGTGCTCTCTCATAGTCCCACTTAGGGTTTTGGATCAAGTGATGGCTAACACATGCATGGACTAGTTTGTCAGGATCACTCTGAGACAGGATGTTTTTAACTTTGTCAATAATTTACAGATGAAAGATGCAGTGCTAGTGCATTTCCTATCATGCCCTCAGTCATTTGCTGGCTTCCTTAATTACCACCCAGTCATCAAAAGATCGAGAACCCTTATTATATATCAATGCTTTTAAAAGTGAATGAGAATTCTGAAGAAGGTGAATGCCTGTAAAGTCAAGAGTGAATCGAGGACCTTCAGACAAAAGCACCGCACACTGTAACTTTGATGGGGGTTTTTAAGTGCTCTGCTCCGACAAAGCTAATTTTTTGAGACTCTTCTTGTCTGGTGATTTCTACTCAAAATCCCCCTGCTGAGTGAATGAATCTGAGGTAAAGCCCTTCTTCTGTGCGGACCCCTAAAGGCGCGTGAAGGACCCCCGAAGGATCTCAGGGGCCAGCGGTGAGGGGCAGGTGGGGGAGGTCGGGGGAGGTGAGGGGGGGCTGTCCTGCCGCAGCAGCAGCACCACTCGCCGTCGAGCAGCGGGACTCCAGGCTCTCACTTCCCCAGCTGCTGACGTCAGCTGGCAGCCTGGGCTGTGCTCGCCGCTCCGGACATAGCGCCGAGAAAAATGCTGCTCTCCGTACCGCCAAGGGCAGGAATCAACCCATACAACGGCTATAACAGCAGAAACAGCAAAAAGGTAAACGCTTTCGGGATTTTCCCCAATTTTCGGCTTGTTCGCTCTGCAGGGCAACACGCCTGCGTCTGTCGCGACCAAAAAAAAAAAAAAAGAGAGAGAGAGAGAGAGAGATAGAGAGAGAGGGGGGGTTTGTGACAGTGAGCTGCAGTGTCCTTGAGAAGCTAAACGAGCTGAATTTAACTTCAGACTTCGTGGAGTCAAATATTCAGCTTAAAGAGCAGGCCCGCTCCGTGGTGTGTGTCAAGGTGGGAAATTTCCTTCTACCGCTCGGTCCCTGTCACGCTGGACGCCTGGCTGTTTTATTTAGTAGTATTTGTGTGCGGGTACTACAAGCGGGGGATGTCGATTATGGCTCTGCTCACTCATTTGAGAAAAGTCAATGGTGGGGAGCAACTTTTGTGGTTTACTGTACGGTGCTGGGATAGCGCGTCAGTGCCTGGATGGTGTTTGTGGAAGTGGGGGTAGGGAGAAACGCAGGCTGAGAGGGAACATGTTACAAAATGAATTCTGCCTCTTCCTCCGTGAGAGAGCTCCGGACACAAGTATCTGGTGTTAAATCAGGTCTTCATTGTCTCCGCCGCCGCGTAAGTTAGCAAAGTTTTTTTTTCCTCTTTCCCTCGTTTCCCATCAGAAAGCGGAATATGCCCCACCCCTTGAAAAATCCCACCAGACCCCGATGACTACATTCCCAGAATTATGAATCGCGCTCTCTCTGTTGCGTTCACTGTTGACATTGTCACTTTTTGTAACCACTACGTGAGGGCAAATGTAGCCTGACTACTCTGCTTCGAGTAGTACACTATACACCGTAACAGAAGCCATTTAAAAATGAGCAAAAGTGTCTCGATACAGTGAAGTAGCAAAGCTACTTTTCGAGAACTTTTCGCTTCCTATAATCCATATTCCAGAGTGGTGTTTTTGTTTAGTCACGCAGACCTCTCCCTGTGGACCCTAATGACTTCTAAGTGACGGTAAAAGCTTTTCCTTTGAACATGAAGGCATCGTGTTGTGATTTTTTTTTTTCTACATCTAGTAGAGTAACAGTGGTTTTTCATCTCCTGCTGATCTTCACTGAGCGTGTTGCTGTGAGCTCCTGAACCCCGAATGGCATTTTGAAAATGTGTATTGACATATTGTCTCTCTGTGATCGCGGACTGCTCATCCTACCAGATCTGATGTCAACACTTGCGCTTGTCTGGGGCAAATAGCTTAAAATGTTTGGGTTGTGCAGGCTCAAACGCAATTAGCGATTTGTTTTTGATGCAGTGGTACTGGGTTGTTACTGAATAGACTTTTAAATTCACTGCTGTTACTAGGTTGGGCTTTATCTTGTTTCTGACAAATGGTTCATTCTCTAAATTATCAACGCCCACTTTATTTTTTACATTTTTTTTAACACCGCTGGGGACTAAGAGATACTATCAAAAGTTTTTTAAGGAAGTACACAAGTGTGAGCAGTGGAGTGTGTGCATGTCAGCACTTTCAGTTTCATTTATTTCATTTGGTCTTCTAGTGACATACATGTACACAACAGATCATGTGGCAGTATTTAATTCATTGCGTGCATAAGCAGATATTTTGGTGATGTGCTAAATTCTTGTGGGAATTTCCAACACTATTCAGATGTTTCAAAATGTGCACTGGGAAATTAAGACTAAATTTTCTCATGTGTGTTGATGTTTCAAAAACTATATGATTGGTGTTTTTTAATCTGATTTTCTTAATTTTATTATTAGTGTACATCACTTACAATGCTGGTAATCAGGAAATTGTTGCGTTCGAGAAGTTTAACACAAGCTTTCACCTGATCATAAATGTCAGCTGATTTTCCCTTGCAGACTCCAAATAAAAGGCCTTGATTATATCTTTTGCTTCTGCGAGTCCGCTACGGTCCGCTTGGCTCAAAGTGACTTAAATTTCATCATCGGACAGTGGGTGCCAAAGTCCATGTGGATGCCTGCATGTCCACCAATTTTTTGTGACACACAGGCTTGTCTGTTTGATTGTTGGGTCTCTACTTGCTGACCGTTTCCGAGTATAATGAAAGCTAAAGATGACATCTGCCTTTGCCGGGTGCCTTTGTTTATCTTTTGCATTAAGTGTTGTTTTCAAAAAAGGGTGCAAAGATGATTTGATAAAGAGCTGGAATACTCTCGAGAAGTCCAACCCATGTTGGCTTTTTAAGACGGACACCGATAACTGATGATATTAAAAACACCATTGAATAATTGTATTAAATTTTGTTATGTGTAGTTATTTATTTACTAGTTGTGCCTGACTCAGATGAAACGTGTGCTGACAACAGGGAAGTGTTCTCCTGTGGTCAACTCATGCGACATGTACAGTCATAGCACGCTTCACGAGTGTTGCTCTCATCTCTACTTAGATTTTCATGAAATACACATAAAATACACCTCAGCATTAAATATTAGTCAAATTTCTTTTCAAATAGAAGTATCAGCACTTCTTTTAGTTAATATATTTGCATCTGAATTAAACATGTGATACTCAGTTGATTTGAATTTGCTTATCTGTGTTTTCAGTGCATAATGATTAGTTTCAGACTTCTCAAAAGGAATAATTAAGGTGAAAAGGCATAAAGCAACATGTAAAAGAAGCTTAAGGCGTAGGCAAAACATTTACCCTTCAGTTGCTTTAGTAGTATCAAGCTCCTCTATGTTGGGGAGCCAAAGTTCACAGAGAGGTCAAGTTCCTGTGTTTTGTTTCCGCGCACCTCCTTTCATTCTTTTGGTCCCTTGCTCACATTTTGCCGTACCTGAGCTATACAAGTGCATCGAATAAAAAACAGAATGAGAAATAAACCCATTCACAGTGGTGAGAGAAGCGCTCTTTGTGTGAGCACGGTGATTACTGAGACTGATTTACCGACTGCTAAATGCCATTCGGTTACTGTTGTGCTTAAAGGCTGCTGCTCCTCCCCTGACTCAGCACCTCATTTCCTCCTTCAAATAAATAGAATTAATGTTCTCAAATCAAATTTGGTCGGTTTCCGTGTAAAGCTTCCTGCATGGAAACATAACAGGAGGCGGCGTGTCGCTTCTTAAGGTATCGTGAGTCTCAGTCAGGGTGGCATCGAATGGCGTGGGGTTTTTTTTTTTTTTTGTACTTGTCATTCACATTTTTGTTTCCCTCTTGGCTGGAGACCTTTTCAACAGATGTCAGCTTAGTGCTGTGATTTAAAGCTGTGGATGCCTCAACATTGACTCTGCTAAGTCAAAGCACAGCTATGTATATGAAAAGAAATCAAAGAAATCAATAAAGCACATTGACTGGAGCATTAAATTCACACACAGATAGGAAGGTTTGCTCTAAAAAGGCCATTGATGGAAAATAAGCAGATGTGAAGTCTCGAATGCATTTCTGACTCGGTAGTTTGATCCTTTTACACATGAACTCCAAACGCTTTCACAAGTATTCATTCCTGAATTCAAGCATTATGTAAACCAGCAACATTTAAGTGCGCATGTTTAGTTTTGTCACGTTACTCCTTGATAAGAGTTGATGTCAGTAAGTTATGCTAAGGCTTCCAGACAGATGTTTATTAAATGCCTGTACTGGCAACTGATTTTACTTTGTAGCACTGATGTTTAAAGAAAACCTCTCTTACTGTAACATCGTGCTCAGAGTAAACTGGGTCATTTAAGAAGTTTGATTTTGTTTGGTACAGTGTGTTCTCTCCTTAACGTGACTGTGGAGGTTTTAGTTGCACGCGGAAAATAGTTGACCTGCTCAAAATTCCCCAAATGATTGCACTAAATGCACTAAAGAAATAAAACATATGCAGACCAGCATCTAATGGAAGGCTTATGCCACAGCTGCCATTTTTACGTTGCTGTAATGTTTAATCCACCAATATCTCCAAGTTCTTTGAAATAAAATTATTCTTTTCAATGCTAAAATCTAATTATTGCTGTTATCCATGGATCTATGTACTGTTTTACAAGCAAAGAGCAGAAAAAAATGTAAAGATCATTATTATTGTTATATTAGGATGACGTATTACATTTATTTACTTACATTCCTAAACAGAAGAATTAGTTCTAGTGGTTGAATGTTACACTTCATTAATTCATAAAGAATCCAGTACGCTAGCTCAAATGTGGCTATAACAACATGACTTCAGCTTATTATTTGCGTAATAAATTAAATAAAATATCTAGTTTTACATTTTTTATTGAAATGTTTTAAAAATCTAAGCCAAACTAAATTGTTAAACTGTATTTGTGTGTTATAGTGAATAAAAAGTCCTTTCCATTAAGCGAGCTCTTTGTTTGATGCCTGTTGTACAGTGTAATTGTAAAAAAGTAAATAAAAATAATGCCTTAGAGTTAAAGAATAAATGGAAAGCCTCAGTAACTCTGGGAGAAATAAAGGAAACAGTAATTGGGGTTAGTCGGGATAACAAAGTGACAAAGTAATCATGCTTTCATATGATAATTAGAACATCTTTAAACAGTAAGTTAATTGGTGCAGCATAGCGAGCTTGTGTTTAGCTTATTGAGTCAAGCACTTCACAGCACCCATATACACTGTTCAGTGTTTATTTGTTGTAAATGAGCAGTCTTTGCCCCCCCCATACTGAAGGCAAGGTAATTTTAAAAAAAAATTTAGAATAATAAATGCCTTACACACCTCATTTGTTTTAATTTGCAGCTTAAGGACTGACCTGACTATTTATAGCATGTAGTATGAAAAAGAGGTGATACAAGCTTTTTTTTCTCTTTAAGGTGGATTAGCTGTTATGATAATAAACATGGGTGATCTCAGCAGTGAGCAGAACCACTGTGAAGATTTTGCTTGCCACAACTGTGCACACCTGGATGGAGTGCGTGAAATCACAGTGCAAAGAAATAGTTTTGCCACACAGCTGTGTTGGGGTGTTCTTTTCTTTTTTACTAGAAAGAAGCTAGAGCGAACTAAATGTTCATTAGGATTCATTTTGATACATTACAACTGTGCGCCGTGTCAAACATGATTCATGTCCTCGTTCGTGTCATATTTTCCTGTCACTGTGACAGGAACTGAAACCAGCTGATGTCTAGGAGGTAGAAAGCAGGTGGCTGTCTCAAGCTTAATTCACAGTTTCATCGCACACAAACATGGCTCAATTTGTATTTAAATCTTTTGGGTACATGTCTCGCTGCTTCATAAATACGTTCCATGCAATCACATTAAATGAGGGCCTGAAACCTGCGGTGTGTTTGGCTGCCAGTCATCTGTGTAACCCTCTCACTGACACAACAAAGTTCTACACTGTGTGCCCCGACACAAACACTTTAATGCATATTAACGTTAACATCGTTGCTGCTCAAACACTGACATGCTAATGCTAGAAAATAGCTACACCCAAAGGCTTTAGTTTCCATTGATCAATTGCTTTTTGAAGTCTGAATGAGGGGAAAAAAACATATTGGGTGGCTGGTTTTTTAAAATTATACTTATTATTATTTGGGTACTTTTTACAGCCCACACATTTACTTTGTTGTGGAGTCTTGTTGCTTTCATTAATCCTATTTTCAGCAAGCAGTAGGCAGCTGTTTTCAGGCAAATAATCTCTTAAAAACCCACAGTATATGAGTTGCCCATCCCTAAATGAAGGATAAAGACAAAGATTAAAGTAAATATTGGCAGGGATTAGGGATGTCACGATACCACGATTTTAGCGGGTACCAATAATCAATTAAATGAATGCGTTTCAACTGGAAACTTTTTTATTTAAACAAGAATGCACGCGTGTTCTGACGCAGATCGAGGAATATGGATCAGGATTATTTATATTGTATTGAAATCAGCCAATCCTTTTTATCAGACACTACTGAAAAAGGTATCAGAAACTACTCCACACAGTTGTGTGTAAAAAAAAAAAAAAAAAAACCAGCTGTTTTGCTGCAGTGAGTTTTGTTTTTTTTCTTTGAACTCTTCTGTACAGCCACCTTTGTCCTCCTGGTCGCATGCCAGGTATATGTTTATCTGTCTCTTTGTTTAATGTGTCAGATGTTTTGGATCAGTCCCTAGCCGGAGTGCCAGCCGCATGAACCGACCAAGGTGAACAGGTAGAGAGGGAGACAGAGTCCTTGGAGAAAGCACAGCTGTCAGAAATCCAATGCCGAGGCCTGCGCCGATGCCAGACGCTCTCTCTCTGTCTCACATTTTGTTAGATCTCTAGCTGAGCTCTGGCCCAGTGTTTGAGAGTATCCGTTTGCAAGCTCTCCATCCTTTGCCACCTGACCCGGCTTGAAAGCCACGCAAGCATGTGCATTTGGCCTGTGCGTGCGCACATAGGTGTGATCAGTGACAATAAGAGCCAGACAATTCCAAGATTAATAGGTGCCTATAAAGAGACGAAAGGAAGGGGAGCGTTGCAGACTGAAAGGAAGGAGGATTCAGGAACGAGTCTGGACGTGAGTTTTGTGTCCCTGTCACCTGGTTGGAATGCAGAGCTCCTCATTTAGAAGGCTGTGTGATAAGATCAGGAGCAGACACAAAGGATTTCCTGCCTATTGCCATACTGTCACTCACCACTTTAAGAGACGTACAGTCCTGTTCTTATCCTCCGCTAACATGTACAGACTGTTTAACCTTTTTAAAGATACCCGCTTTATGTTTTTATGATTATTAGCACTTTAGTTTTCTGGGACGGAGCGTTCCGTTGGGTGTAGATTAACTGTTACATTTTTGGTTGTATGGTTTTTATCAACATGGCATAGAAGAAAAGATGTGGTTACACACATCGGATAACCCGTCCGGAAGGTTTGTTAATGCTTCAGAAGGATCTTAGGTTTTGAATTCCCATGACTCATTGCTCTGGTCGGTCCTAAAGAGAGGCGGATGTAGTAGCTCAGCAGTGTAATTCTATACACGCTGGAAGCTGTGTCCTCATTTAGTTGGACTTTAAATCTGTGCATTAGCATAGAAGTCGGCTGCCATACACAGGCAGTCATGGCTCTTTCTTGCCAGCAGGACATGGGGAGGTGGGCAAACCCCCCCTCAACCAGGAAGTCCATGGACTTCTGTGAGTCAGCTTGAGAGGCTGAGATTTTAAAAAATAAAATTAAAGCAGAGGTAGCGTGAGACTTAAAGAACGGTTGAACAAGGTGCACTCATGTGACACCTCGTGTCAAATGTCTTTAGGGTGTTGGTGGAGGATATTTCTGATACAATTAAACCGTTAGAGATGCGATTCAATTAGGTAAGACGTGTCACTTAAGCCAGCGAGCTGTTCCTGTGCGTGAATCGCCTCTGAGAGTTTAATACAACACATAAAATGCGGCGGTACGTCTTTGATATTGTGAAAGATTAAAGGCAGGGTTAAATGCTAGCAGTACACTATATTTAAAATAGACACTTCCTTCCAGCGTCAGAGTCTTCATACAGGTTTGCATAAAAATAGAGGAAATGGTTTTATTTATAGAAATGTTCTTGATTTTTATCTTTGGTCCTTAAAATAATCTATTTATATTTCCAGTCTCACAGAGAAGGAGAAATGCAGCATCAGGACTACAAAATATGATTACTGCAATAACGTGAAAGCTAATTACCAACCGTTGGGGGTGGAGACTTTTTTTTAAACTTTTTTATTTTTCAGTTTAATATTTTTTTGCTTCTATAACAATTTACCCGCACACTTTAATGTAGGACCCGAGAGAAAGATTACACGTCACCACTATAACGTGACCGAGCATCAACTGCATAGTTACAGCACCGTGAATTTAAAGCTTTTTGCAATAAAGAGAAATTTCTGAAAGCCTGACAGAGATTTGCTTCTGAGCGTCAGTCATCTCTGTCTGATTGTTAATATGAACTTTTATGCAGCTCTCTGTGCACATTTTTAGCCTTAACAACGCTTCAGCGGTATGTGTGCGTAGTTAGCCGTGTGACTGCAGACCGGTGATTTAAGGGGTGTTGTTGCAGTGATACGCTCACTGAATGAGACTTGCCTTTTTGGTAAAGAGAGTTTGAATGAGATTATAGGCCTCTGCTGTCCTCTTCTTTCATTCACAAATTAGCTGCCTGCAAAACATATTCATCAAGAATTTCACTGTGACGATATAGGACTACTCCTGTAGGCATACAACGAAAATGGACAAAAGGGAGGCTGTGCTTCCATCTCATCTACCTGTCATGTAAAAAGTCTACATTCAAGCTTAAGTTGGTGGTGGAGTAGGGGGGTTATTGCTGTTGTGAAAGCTGTGGGCAAAGTAGAGGTCAGAAGGCCTGTCTTAAAGGGACCTCACGCCCTTATGGATACTGTCTAATTAGCGGAATTGAGCGATGCTGTCGGTGATCCCGGTGCGACCGTGTCGTCCTGCTGGGCCTTTTTTAAACCCGACCAGATTGATCGGCGAGCCCTTTTTTTTCCTCTGTCATGAAATAAACCCATTGTCCTCCTGCCCAGCTTCACAGAAGCACCCTGCTGAGCTTATTTAGAAAGCATGCTTGATCTAATTCGTTCCTATACAACAGCAAGTTAAAGAAATTGGACTGTTAAATTAATGCGATTGAAGTCATTTTCTCACTGCAGACAGCCAGTTTTGCCTGTTCTGGTGAAGCTGGTGCGCTCTGTGTTTATTTCCCCAGTCATGTTTGGAAAAAAGTTACCAGATCTATTCCTGGAAGGAGAAGTTTTTTTTTTTCTTTCTTCACTGGCAAAGCGATAATAACATCATATTTATTCCATTAAAATGAAAGCATCTGCACTGTTACATAATCTTTTTGTTTGATATCTCCAAGGAGAGCCACGGTCCCACAGAGAGATTAGATGATGCACTTTTTGTTGCGCAACATCCGTTTCATGGTCCTAGCTGTGAGTCATCCATTAGTTTACAAGCAGAATTCACTGCCACTGCATCCTTGTAGAAAACAAACCAAAATAAGATAATAGTTGAAGTAAATGTCAAATGTTTGGCTCATGAGCCTGTTTGTTCAGATTTTTTTAATAAAGTGATAAACTCCAAGTTTATTAATCTTTTTAAATTCTCCTTGTTTCTGTTTAGATTCGAGTCATTTCTGTAACCACATATCTGTCATCAGACATCAGCCGATGGGGTTCTCAGACTCATAATTATCGTGGATTAAGCTGATCCCTGTTTTTGCATCTAGCCGCTCGGGATCTTGTTAACCCTTTAACCTTAATGACTGTTTGAGAGGGGAAAAGATTACACTGTTAAAGTGAAGACTTCAGCGAGTTTCGGGAGCGAAAATAAATGCGGCGTTGTCAGTGTCTCGTTTTTGACGTATCTGCTTTTTTTTCATTTGAGGTAACACGAGGCAGCGAGTTGCACTACAAAGTAGACATTGTTAACATCAAGGCTATTATTTATTTCTGCATCATGAGACTAACTAAATGTTGGTCTGAGATCTTTAGGTCTTTGGTTTTTGCACCACAGGATTTTTTTGTGTGGTTCCAGAAGTTTAAAAAAAAAAAGGTTACCCAACATTGAGAAAGCATAAGAGGCCCCTTTTCCCTATGTGTGGAGCAGTCGGCCAAGAGGCCCCACATTCCCCTCAGAAAGCGCTATTGGTGAGTGTTGACATGAGGGCTGTGTGATATCACTTTTCGCAGCTCCCACATAATCATCTGTTTCATGCAGGATTACTTTCCATTTCTCCACATCTCTAAACGCGCCTTTGAATTTTCACACTTTTAATAAAAACTTCAGCGTACTTGTGTAGTTTCTGCTGGCGTTTGAGAATATCAGCGATGTTTTTTCCTATAAATGTTTGTGCACAGTAAAATAATCGGTATGTTTCTTTCTTGCTGCAGCAGACCTATGTGTCCTCCGGCCACCAGATGGCACCCCCCAGTCCCAACACCAACAGTAGTAGCAACAGCAGTGGCGGTGGAGGGGAACAGCTGAGCAAAACCAATCTGTATATTCGCGGCCTCCATCCGGGGACCACGGACCAAGATCTGGTCAAGCTCTGCCAACCGTAAGTCATTTTTTAAACTTTTGGTTATTTTGTGCATAGCACAGCAAGTCGAATTTTTATAAAGTTGTAAAATCATCCTCTCTCTCATTTTTTAAGTTTGAGATCTGTTACCATCTATCTATCGTTAAGTGGAACATAAAACTATAGGTCGGCTGGGGTTAGCTTTGGAAAACATGAACACTGGATGAAGGAACAATCTAGCTTGCCTTTATTCCATCTATGAAATCCTCGCCTACCAAAAACACTGTATATAAAGGATTAGACGTGACCACAGTGACATCACTGATTGATAAGCTAAGTCCTGTTTCAAGTTTCGAGCCGAGTGTGCCGTTCTAGCTTTTTGTAACCAGTCACGAGTGCTAGATAGATCTGACTGTGAAGCTGAGGCACTAAAACCACCTTCACAATCCTACTGTTGACCAAAAAAAAAAAAGACAAAAGGAACATTGTGCTGTTTTCAGTATAAATGGAAACTACTGACGGAAACCATAAGCCCGTCAGGAAAGTGCTATTTGACAGCCACGGGGTGTTAAACAACCAGACTTCTTTTTGCAGCCACCTGCTGGACCTTAGAAAGAAAGCACTTCTTCACTGGCTTCCTTTTCCAGATGTGGAGGCTACCTCCATCTTTTAAATACAGCCTTTGATTTTACACACACAGAGAACTAAAAATGGATACACAATGGAGACTTTTTGGCAAACAACTTCACATTTTTTCCAGAGTCTAATTTTCACTGTAGCCATCGTAAACTAGATGCACTATGCAAATTCTTGTTTGTTTCTGTATGTAGACAGAAGACCTACTACAATCTGTGATATGCAATAACACTGTTCTACTGTGTGATGATTAGATGACAGTATGACTTGCAATACAACGTCTATACAGTTCAGTTGAGGGTTTTCCTTAGGTTGGTGTGGGGCTTACATTAGGTGTAGTTGCTGTGTTTGAACGGGTGCAGTGATAAAGGACTTTTGCTGCTTTGTGTGAGATAAGAAGCTGCAAACACGTTAGAGAACATCCTGCAACGTTTCTCTGATTCCTTTAGCTGACATGCTGTGTTTGCAGTGGTAGATGAAGCCCCAGACTTAATCTCATGTATGTAGCAGTCTGTCCCATGGGCCACGTGTGTGCGTGCTGAGAGTGAATGCGTGGTGCACGCCTTTCAGGTTGAATTTTCTTCATTGCACATGTTCCTCTCATAACAGTGAAGAAATCGAGACTTATCTGTCGGTGCTAGTGGACACACATGTGTATTGAATGCTGATTGGGGCCTTTGAGGTGCTGCTACTTCTGGCCTTTAAAGAGAATCAGGTTAGCTGCTAAGCTAAGTTTATCCTAACCTAAACCAATATATTCTGACTGTTGGAGTTATGGTGGTGCGCTCATATATACCAAGGTGTAACCTTAGTTTGGGTCTATGAAGCACTTAAAAATGCCTGTCTTATTCACAACTTTTTGTAAAAGCTGTTTTGTGTTTGTTTAAGGTAAATATGATTTTACAAGTAAGTCAAACTCTAAAGGGTAATACAACATACAGGCATGCAGTGGTATTTCCATAATAAATGCCTAAATGATGTTCAAAGGCTGCATGGAGCTGGTGATGTTTCTGAGAGTCGTTGTTTTTTCTGTTGTTTCCTTATACGTGTGATGTTGTTAGGGCAAAAACATTACTATTTCTGTGCACTCCATCAGTGGGAGGCATCAAATTAAATTCATGCCTCCGACCGAGGCAAAACTACATTTTTCGGGGGGGGTGGCTCTTTAGGCAGGAGGGAAAGAAAAAAGGTTAGTTGTGATAAGGGTGAGTCTTATCACAACTAAAGTCAGTTGAATTTATCTTGATGGGATAGGTGCTGAGATAAAGAAAAGAAACTTACAATATTTCCTCATTTAACTTTGCATTTTCTTGAGAATTAGTTTAAACTCAGTGAAGCCAGACTTGTACACCTGGAAACAAACAGCCTAGCCAGTGTAGTTAGCTTTGCAGACAAGCATGCAGTTAAACACCCAAACTGGTTTTTGGCTGCTGCAAGTGAGTGCTGTATGTCACAGAAGTGAACTTCAGTCCCACATCCATCAGGGCTCTTTCACAGTAAAAGCACATCTCTGTGAAGAAGCTTACGCAACTTCTAATTTAAAAATGCCCGGTAATATTTCCAACATCACAGACCATCTTTAAAACTTTGATTTTAATCATCCTGACCATACAGAGAAAAGTATCAGAAGTATTAAAATCCACAGGGAGAATTTACTTGGCTTGTGACCACACACACACTGACATACACACACTCGTGAATTGTCGTGTGTGTGAGCAATCTAAGAAGATCAGAAATGTGCAGATGTGAAACACAGGAAGTTTGAGTGTTAAAGAGATTTACAGAGAAGCCATTGTGGATTGGCAGAGAAGTGGAAAGAGGACGGAGACTTTAGAGGAGGGTGGGAGGGCTACTGTTGAAGGAGAAACTTAAATGAGCGGGGAAGAAAGTAGCATGGCCTGCTGGGAAAGAATGTCAGATGACCATATATGGGTTAGGGCTGTCTTTTAGGCCCCTGTGGGCTCCATAGTGTGCTTGGTTGGTGTTCTCCTGCAGAGGAGCCGAGGTAAGCGCAGGGTCACACAGTCAGTGCCTGTTGACCTTTTAAACTCATAGCATTGTTGTTGGGGAAGTCATAAATGACAGCTTTTATTTTTATCTTTGGTTCTAATTATAACTCAGTGATCAGTAAGTCTTAAGTGAGTTTTTTAGATTTCTTTAGTTTAAAGGCATCAGATCGAAACCAGAAAAAATAGAGATACCTAACATCAGGTTAACCAGTTTTTTGAAGCACATTTCTATTGTCTATAGAACAAACGTAGTTTCATTGTGCCTAATGAACTCACAGCAATACCACTAAAGACCTTTGGTTTCTAGAGAAATGATAGTTAAGTACAATTCAAGGTCAAACTCACATTTATTTCACCTTAAAGTTGTTTCAGTCAGACAATATTCATACCTCAAGTACTGACATATAATCCACATTGATAACAAAAATATTTAGACTTGATTCTCACCTAGACTTCACTCATATCTCTCATCTAAATTTTGCTCTTTGCTTGTAAATGCCAGACATTTTTGCTTTTTCCTTAATAATCAGACGCTTACTGTTCTGACATAATCAGGTGACAGGTGACAAAGTGCTTTCTGTAAAAAGAGTAGTGGATAAACTTAATGAAATTTGTCTCAGAAGGATGTGCGTGCATGTGTGTACGGCATCTTTACTTCCGAGGCTTTATATCAGTGAAAAGACACCGCTATAAAAAGAAACCAGTGGCTTTCAAGTCTGTTTTAGTTAAAGGCGACTGGTTATTTCAAATTTCCAGCTCCTTGTTTCTATTCATGGACCTTGCTAGATTAGGCTGGCATAATTCAAAGTTCAAAGAAATCCTTAGTGCAGTCCCTGAGGTTGTCCGCTGTCTGAAACTTGCAGTTCTGTTAGGTCCGTGTTTGTCAAAATAGGATTATTATGACTTCTGCAGCCATTTTCCTTTTATTTGGCGGTGTGGCACTGTTCTGTGTAATGCAGGGAAAGCATCAGCAGCACCACAAATGCTTCATGTAACATAGCAGGCTTCATTGACAACGCATGTGACATTGATTAAGTCAGCAAGAGCATGAATAACATGAAAAGGAGGAGATTAGGCAGAGGTGGGTTGCAAAGTGTTTTGCAGAAGTTGAGCCATCAGCTGATTTGGGCTGGCCACCCTCCTATTAGGTCAACTTCATTTGACTGGCTGCCTCTCATAAACACAAGGGTTGAACTGCAGGTGGGTGGGATGCTGCTTTCATAGCAGAACAGTGCTTTACCTTAACATGATTATCCACCCTCATTAACATCATAGTAGTAGAAAAAATGCAATCAGAATATTTGTTCAGGAATGAAATGTTGAACTGCACAGGGGCCTCAAAGTAACCAAAGCGTCCTGTAGTACAGAGTACGGCATTTGCATCCAGAATAAAGTGATGTAGAGGTAAAACACAGCACAACATAGAAATACTTGAAGTATAATTACATGAAAATGTCACTGGACACGTTCTGCAGTTTCTCGAATGGCTGTAAGCAGCACAGCACCAGTTCAGCTTTGTATACTAACAAAACTCCACCATAAAATCAACTGTGTCCATATGTGAAAGCCAGAGTTCCAACTGTAAAACTTCATTTGGGCTTGAATGGGTTACATTATATCAGGGGTGTGTGTACATTCATGCCTAACAACCACTTTGCAGCTGTTAGATGACACTGGGACAGTATAAACATAGCATGTGTTTATTTGGTAATGGCTGATGAATTAATGCCTGCAATAAGGAGCTTTTCTACCACTATAAACTGTGCAGCGGAACTTCTAGATTATTTTAATTCATCATAATCGAAATGCATATATACGTTTATTTGAATATCAAACTTAACACACAGACATAAGCTAATAAGGTCAATGCAAACATTCAGTCATGCCCCACCGCGGTAACTGAAGTGGAGCCATAAACGTTGCTCCTATATAACTTCTGGTCTTTGCATTTAGGGCAAAAGTGGAGGAGTAGCGATGTCTTTAAATTGAATTGCCAGTCATTACCCACATCTCTGTTGTGACCATCAAGCTTGGTCTGAGTCATGTGGTTAAACGTGCACTGAAACAAGGCCGGAGTGTAGGACCCAGCAGTGTGCTACCATGTGAGGGTGGAAAAACAGAGAGAGAGAGCGGGACGTGGTGGGAAGGAAGGAAGGCGAACTGGAGGGGTGAAGCATCAGGTTACAGTGTACATTCCGCCCAGACGCCATGTTGCCCAAACAGAGAAGCACCAGCCTCTCTCACTGGGTAAATTCACCAGACAAGGGCAGGTCTATTATACTGTAGTGCTGATGCACCGTCTTACAACACTGCATTCCATTAGTCTCAGCATGTTGCATAACACTTCTCATTTGCTGCCTTTGAGGTGATTTTCATACTATCAATATTTATGTGGCTGGATGTATGAAAAAACTGATTTTCATCTTTTACTGACTGACCTTTGTTGTACGTCTATGTTGACAGCTGTGAACCGAAATGACAGGTTAAGACATGAACTTGTGTTTCGCGCGCTATATTCCTTCTTTTGTTTGTAGATGGGTGGATGAGAATACATTTTCCTGAAAATTAATATCTCCGTTTGAGAGTCTGATGTTGCAAGTGCGAGACGTTTAAGCTGTATTTAAGTCAAAAATACCCTAGAGCAGAGCTGTATTTAGAAGAGAGGTGTTAGTGTGTTAGTCTGTGTGTGTGTCTGGTAAAGCCGGGCCGGGAACAAATTGTTTTTGGCCCTGGGGTGCCGTCCCCTGTCCTCGAAAACAACGTCGGGGAACAGAGTTACTGTACGGCGGCCTGAACAAAGACGCGAGGGAGGAGTCAGACGAAGTTTTCGGTGCCTCTTAAGATCATTAAATGCACACAAATGTTTGCACAAAGGATTTTGTATTTGTGTTTACACCTGTAGTCTGGCAGCCAGGGGGAATTTATAGATATTGGCATGCATGTGGTAGGAGCAGATTCCTCTTGTTGCCTCGTTGTAACCTTGTCCACTCATTGATCCTGTATTCTGTGTTCTTGTCTCTTCCCTGAAGGTATGGCAAAATTGTGTCGACCAAGGCCATCTTGGACAAAACTACCAACAAATGTAAAGGTAAACTCTAATAATCTTTTCAAAGACTGGGTTGTCATGCTTTTTTTTTTATTATCATATATACATATCTTTTTGAATGTCATTTTCAGTCATTCTTTGGCTGTGGCGAAGCATGCCATTTGTCAAAGGGTTAGGAAAACACTGTTTTCCTGTATGGCCCAGAATTAGATGGGAACATCCATGTAGCTCATAAGGCCTCAGTCACATAGCTCTAAAGACTCCAGATCAGTTGCCATGTGCTTGCTGGAGTTTGCTGACTGCTGACAAGCAAAATCTGTTGCGAAGAGGATGCTCCACCTAAAACCTCACCGGATTGCTTTGGTCAGTAGCAGACTGCCACAGTCACCAATAGTTTGCACAGAAGGCATGTACTTGGCTGCAAAACCTTTGCTCTTGGTGATGTAGCGAAACTTGAAAAAGTTCAATGCAAAGCACAAATGGAGAATGTTCACCTTCAAAATAAAAAACACTGCTACCAACATGTTTCAAAAAGTGCACCTTTTAGTTTGAAGACGAATGTTCTCAATGGAAGGATGGCTATCGAAAAGCTTCCATTCTTAAGGAAGGGAAACATCGAGGAAAGGCTGAGGTATGCCACATTACACAAGAACTGGACTGAAAATCAGTGGAAACCAGTTTCATGGAACGATAAATCCAAATTTGAAATGTTTGGTTCAAATTGTCATCATAATGTACAGACAAGGTCAGGAAAGAGGTACAACAGTGATTTTTTGGAGCCCACTGTAAAACACAGTGGAGGCTCTGTCGTGGTTTGCCGCTGCTTTTAGGCCAGTAGTCTTGGGGACCTTGTCAATATTGATGGAATTGTGAACGCAGGAATGTACAGACATATTATGATCCACCATGCAATACCATCTGAAAAGCAACTGATTGGCAACGGCTTCAGTTTTAATGACAATGACAAACACGCTGTCAAAGCAGTAGAAGCGCGCCTAGATAGAAAACACTCAGTGGAACACTATCAGTCATGGATTGGCCTCCTCAGAGCCCACACCTCAGCGTTATTAAACCACTGTGGGATGATCTTGACAGGGAATGAAGCAAAAGCCAGCCGACATCCAAAGAAGATGTTCTTCAAGAAGCCTGAAGAACTATTACAGAACTATTACTACTTAAGCTTCCGTATCAGATTCAGCTTGTAAGAATAAAGGTGGTCATACCAAATACTGACTTTCAAGCTTGTTAGAATAGCTTGCACATTTCAATGAATCACTGCACTTATTTCCCATTTTTCCAGCAAAATGTAAAGAAATGTGGCTCATCACTTTTGTAGAGTGCTGTATTCAGCAAACGCATGGCATCTTTTCACGTACTTTCTGATGTTACAGCATTTCTACTATCAGTTTGTCTGTTTTACAGGCTATGGCTTTGTGGATTTCGACAGTCCAGCAGCAGCACAGAAAGCTGTTACAGCTCTGAAATCCACTGGGGTCCAGGCTCAGATGGCTAAGGTAAGAATTAGCCAACTATCTTGTATCCATCTACCACTTGTTGCTTCCAAGTTTACCAGCCACCATTAGATTTAAACATGCCTTGTTTAGCCCATCACCCCGTCTTGTACCCTTATTGATCTTCAGAGAGCCATCAGTTCAAGAGTCATAGCCCCATTGCTGCGCACGTACACACACTATCATGTAAAAGGTTAAAAACTGTTACATGCAGTGGCCTAATTGGCAGCGACTGTGCTGTTGGAAAGGGTTCAAAGTAAACTCTTGTCTATAGGGAGGTTTGTGTGTGTACTGAGATGTCCCAGTGATGCACAGCCCAGACTAGACCTGCAGAAACAGTTTGCTCATATTTTTTATTGCTTGTTCCTCCGCTCTGTTCGGTCTCCTCTCAAATCCTCATTTTGCCTCTTTCTTCACTGTCCTCCGCACTACCTCCTGTCTCCTTCCCCCTCACGTACTTCATTTCTGCGCTGTGTATGTTACAAACCTGCTCCTGTTGTAGCACTTGTTCTGAACTCTTTGTCCAAGTGTCTGAAGTCAAAGCTACTCTTGTCGGCCCATTAAGCTGATCCCTCTGGCTCTGAGGCTCCCCATTGAAGGAACCCGGGGGGGAGGGTGCCACTACACCCGCTGTCAATGGGACAGGCACAATGGACTGGCATTGTCCATCGCCTGGGCCTGGGCCTGGGGCAGACACCAGCACTTAATACACTCCACCCCGGCGTCCCTACCTCCTCCCTCTATCTTGCACCCAAACAGACCCGCAGCAATGTAACACCAGGGTCTCCCTCAGAGCAGTGCTGGAGAACTGTAACGGATACACACTGCCAGCTGACCTGAAACAGTCCAGTGCAACTAAAACCTGAGTCTAAGTTCACTGAGCCGCTTCTGTAAGAGTGCCATACAATCCTGCGTATCTTTGTACTTGACAAGTGCAACTGGACACCATAACCTGACTCACCCAGACAGCATGTGCTCAGTGAGAGGTGTTGATAACCACTATATAAACCTAAATATACACCGCCGTCTCAGAGTCAGTGGGTATTTCAGGTTAGCAAAAAAAAAAGAGCTATAGTCAATGGTAATATCAATATCAAGGGCAGGTTCACCTGCCAGCAGCTTCACCATGGCTGCTGCAGTGTTATTCACAAACACAATGAACCACACCTTGAACTAGATGTCCTTAGAGTGTGTGCTAAGTCCCTGAACGGGCCACCCCAGCCTCCAGGCTGCAAGCCCAGAGGAGCTGCCTGTGTAGGGGCAGCGAAACAATGGCAAAGTTAAAAATAGAGCCCCCTCCCCACCCACCCCACCCCCTCTGTTTTTTCTTTTTCTTTTTTACTTCTCAGCACCTCCCTGTTTGAACTCAGACGTCATGACCCACACGCTGCTCGACACACAAACACCCAAGCGAGCTAACGCAGAGACACACCTTAACAGACACGGCTCGGTGAAGGCCTGGCACAGACAATACACGGTGACACCTCAGCAAATCCCATTCATGCGCCTGAGCTGCGCGCGGCAACATTTTAATACAGTAGGAGGAAAATTGTTAGAATATCAAACCGTCTGCTGTGTGCGCTGGCCGAGCTAAAAGGAAAACAAAAAAAGGGAAAAGGGGTGGAGTTTTTTGTTTGTGTTTGTTTTGTCATATGGCTTTGAATTCCATTACTCTCAGCTGGCCTATGACCTCTGCGGTTTGCTCCTCTGTTGCATAATAGCTGTGTTAGCAGGAATGACGGCAATCACAGAAAATAGGTTATCTCTCCACCAGATGGCTGAGAGTAGGAGATACTCACGTAGGCTATAAAACATTTAAGATAGCTGTTGACATACTTTAATGCCATAAATGTTCTCAGGAATTCTTCATTGTCAGATCGCCACCTCTGTCAAATGTGCCCGAACAGCTTGGCAAGTATCTGAGGTACTGGCTGTCCTCTCCTGGTTGTTGCTTGGATCAGTCCAGTCTAAACAGTTGTAACTCGATGTGCCTCTCTCGCTGACAGCTTCTGACAGCTTCTTCTCCATCCAAATTTAAAAAGCTTTTGTTATTTGTGGTGTGCAGAGCTGTTTGATTGCATGCAGCAGGCACTGAAATGAGGAGATAAAATGGTATAGAGAGCAGCCTGCTAGTCAGAAGACACCCATCTGTCTTCTTTTCTAGTTTCACTCTTTTTCTGTCATTCTCCTTTCTAATTGCCCAAATGACTGCAGAGGCCTGGGTAGGTCCTACCCTGTAAGTTTCCTCCTTCCGTAACAAAATATCAGCCTTTTGAGTTATTAATTTCCTCCCTCTTTCTTCGCTCTCCGTTTTTTTTTCCTTCCCCTGTTTTTTAGCCCAGCCTCTTTTTTTCATGGTTGCCAGGCTCCTGTTGCTCTGTGAACTCTTTAACTTCATGCCTGGCTTCCTGTCTGCCTCTGCATAGTCGCACAAGGTTTCGCTTTCAAGCTAGTGCCACCAAATGATCTCTCCTCTTAATTTACTCACAGCCATCAAGATCTCTTCATTAGTCAAAATTATACCAAAAAGGCGCGACTCGCTACCCCTGTGCACAAATTAATACTTTGCAAATGTCAGAGTGTTTTTTTTTTTTTTTTTTGGCGTGCACGCAAGGTTTTTCAAATCCTCCTCAGCTGTGGCAGTGACACATAGAAAGTGGTGAGAGATTATTCAGGGTTTCCCTTTATTGGTCTGTCACTAATTGCTTAAAAACATTTCAGCAGGTTCTGTTACTAAATTATGCTTGACACGCAAATGTAGTTTAATCAATTTGCCAAGTGCAGTGGCAGGTGTTGATGGAAAGACGGGTCGCGCTGCTGCCTACACAGAAATTTGTGCCGTGTGGGGAAAAAAAGATTTTTGAAAGTAACAACATTTTTCTATTTGCAAGAGTGCCAGGAAAGTGTGCTATAATATATATATTTTTAAATTGAAGCCGGGAGAACTTCACGCTTTAAGCAACTGTAAATACTTGATTAAAGCAGCGGCGTCTGCGCCGACACGGTCGCTTTGAGATAAATAATAAAAAGTCGGCGCCGCGTTTCCTCATTCAAAGCTTAAGAAGATGCACGAGCGAATGGATTCTCATTTCTCACTTTTTGTATAGCAACAGGAGCAGGACCCCACCAACCTCTACATCTCCAACCTGCCCGTGTCTATGGATGAGCAAGAGCTGGAGAGCATGCTCAAGTCTTTTGGCCAGGTCATTTCTACCCGCATCCTCCGAGATGCTAATGGGACCAGCCGCGGCGTCGGATTTGCCAGGTCAGACTGTGGCGTCGCATGGTGGCCCATCGTGTCTTGAGCACATTTTCTGTTATCAATTACATGTAATTTGTGCAGCTCTGGCACGGACCAACCGAATGCAAACAGCGCTTCTCGAGAGGGATTAATTTTAACTCTGTCTGGTTTTTCAGGATGGAATCCACGGAGAAGTGCGAGGCCATAATTCAGCATTTCAATGGCAAATTCATCAAGACTCCACCAGGAATACCCGGTGCGTGGAATGTTTTTTTTTTTTTGTATTATAGAAACCTGATACTGTTGTAAGTGCTGCAGCTGAGTGTGTTTTCTTCCCCACTGTGATCAGTGAATTCACTCTCTTGTTTGACCTGTTGCTTTCTCAGTGCCCACAGAGCCCTTATTATGTAAGTTTGCAGACGGAGGTCAGAAGAAGAGGCAGAACCAGAGCAAATATCTCCAAAATGGAAGACCTTGGGCTAGAGACGGAGATACGGTAATGTCTTTTTTTTTCTCCTCTAAAATTATGGAGAAAAATCACATCAAGTACATACTGGAAAGTTTTGAATTTAATCGGCCACACTCTGTGCTAGCAGACTGTTTTAGTACGTACTGCACCGGTGTTTGCATGACCTCACTGGTTCTGAATCCCTTTTTTGTTTTCCCAGGGAGGAATGACGCTTGCGTATGACCCCACAGCCTTACAAAATGGGTGAGTGGTATGCACGGACTGACTAAAAACAGTCCCAGCCCTCCAGGAAAATAAACATAGCAATCAGAGACTGGTAAAAGGCTGCCCTCTGCTGGACATTGCAGGAACTCAGATATGTTGCTAAATTAGCTGGAAATTGTGGACATGTTGCAGTTTCCTTCATGTTGTCTTCTTGTTGCTCTGTGTGTTTGGCAGCTTCTACTCCTCACCTTACAGTCTGGCTCCAAATCGAATGATTGCTCAGACTTCCCTCTCTCCCTACATGCATTCTCCTGTCTCATCCTACCAGGTGGGACTTTTCACTCTGTTTATATTCAAATTATTAGTAGTTTTGTTTGTTCATTTTTAGCCCTGCTGGCTTTTAAAATCTGCATGAAAGTGAATCATGTATTTTTCTGTTGCTTTTCTGTACCGAATCCCTCATTAAGGTCACGTTATGTAAGTTAACATGCAGGACGGCTGCTTTCATCCAGGTTCTGTCTCTGTTCTTGTGACCTTTTTGTGCCAGCTTACACATTAAGGGCTCTGAGGGGACTGTGACAGGACCAGATGAAAAGTATCGAAAAGTAATTTTGCGATGTACTCCCGCCTCTACAGGTACACAACCCGTCCTGGATGCACCATCAGTCATACCTCATGCAGCCAGCTGTGAGTATCCCTCCTTCAGTGCCTTCTGGTCTTTTCACTTGGCCCACAGGCCAAAAAAGCATAAACAAAAGTGTAAATACAAAAAGCGCTTGAAGCAGGATATACAAATCAAAGTGTCACGGCAATGAAAAAGAACATAGTTCTTTCTGTTACATGGAAATCAACAGGAACAAGCGGCCTCAGTGGTCACACAGGAAGCTGTAATATTTATTGGATCCCTGATAGTTGTGATCTTTACACGTACCCTTTAAGCATTGACCTGCTTTAGGGAACGCCATTCATGAATTAGTCTCAATACTTTTTGTGGTTGTAATTACGCTGCATGTTAAACTGGACAATGTATCTGTAGCTGCCCAGCATCAGCTGCATTGCTGCCACTATCTGAACTTGACCAGTGGCAGCTATGATTTGCATTAACCAAATGAAAGGAAAAATATCTTCTGCTGGGTCAGCTTTTATGGAAACGGGATCAGGGTGCGTGCCGAAGCCATGTGGAAAGCTTAAAGAGGAATGCACACCTGAAAGGGCTTTTATTTCATCAGTAGATATCTACAGTTTTTTAATATTAAATGTGTACCAGTGTTATTAATAAAATACGATGAATGTTAACCTCTACATTTTAACAAAATGTAGTTTCTAGGTGATGCATGTCACACTCTGGGACTGCATTTAGGTGTGTGTCTCTGTGCGTTCGCAGGGTACAGTTATTACCCCAACAATGGAACACGCCATGTCCATCCAGCCCACATCCATGATGGGACCTCTCACCCAGCAACTAAGCCACCTGTCTCTGGGCAGCACAGGCACAGTCAGTACCAACGGACACACAAACACAAACAACTGTCCCCGTCACTAACGACATTTACAAGTGTAATTATTTGCGTGAAATACTAAACACACAGTCACAGATTTCATTTTCCTCCCTGTCTTCCCTACAGTATATTCCGGCCAATACAACTATGCAGGGGACCTACATCCCCCAGTACACCCCAGTGCCTCCTTCCAGCGTCCCAGTAGAGGTATGAAACATTTCCTAATGTCTTAATGATGTTTTGTTTTTTCCATGTAGTGGCTGGCTCAAAATGAAAACTCCTTTGTGGGACATACTGTGTAACTAATAATTGAACGTGGCTAAAGTAATGAAGGTGGTTGTTCAAAGGTGCCAGCTGGCTAATTGAATTCACTCGATATCCCGAGAGCCTTTTTAACCTTTAACTGCGGCGTACGTCCCTGTGTCTGTGAAGTCATTTTGTTGACGTTTTTGAGATCAAAATGACTTAGCAGTGCTGTCCTGCTTTCTTTTTCATCTGTGAAACAAACGTGCCTAGTTTAGGTTGCAACTGCTCATTTTCCTTATTCATTCATAAATCTGCCAGATATTTGATTCATTAAAAATTGTCAAATAATGAAATATTGTAAAGCATCTGTCATTTTATTGCTTTATTAGGAAAACAGCACCACTTAAAAGTGCTTTTAAGAAGCAGCAAAAGTTCTTTCATCGTGTTGATTGTTGAATGACTGATTATTCCAGGTCAGCACATGTGTTTGCTGCTTGAACCAAAGAGAATATTTTCAGCTGGGAGAACCTGTATAAATGGAGTGTCTGCTTCTGTTTCCGCCCAACATTGGGCTGAGTCCATGTGTAACCTTTGACAACCTGAATGCAGCCATATGCGAACCTCAGATTTAAGACTATTACCTAACCGGGCAAGCCTTTGCAATTTCTTTATGTCTTTCTTTATTTACTTTGTCAATCACTGCGCAGTCTGTGTGTTCCAGGGCTGTATTGTGGCAGATCCAGGCAGAGTGCTCTGCAGTAAGGCCTCTGAACCTGTGGGGTGTTTTTAAGCCATTTGCTGAATGGAGCTCAGTGATAACGGTGGTGGCCTCTTAGGTGACCTTGTGAATGAGAAAATGGATGATTTATGAATGAAGTACAACAGAAAGCACATGAAAGGGGGAGGCTGTGCGTTTAAATCCAACATTTGCTCTTTGTGCATGCACACAAAAGGATAAGATGCATTTAATGTGATTAGGAAGGGAGTTTTAAAATATCGTCTGTCTCCTTTATGCTAACATCTGTGTGGTTGTCATGAATTATTAAGTTGCTAAACCTGACTTTTCTTTTCTTTTCTTTTACCCCAGGAAAACGGTGGCCAGCAGCAGCAGGTTGCAATGGAGACTCCTACAGAACACACAAACTACTCATACCAACACACCAAGTAAAGCTAAGGCAGGTAAGGTCGCTCCTTCCTGCAAATTACAAATATGTAGACGTTTGTAAATTGCTTAATTAGCAAAATTGTAATGAACATGAATGAAAACATAAGTCGTGGTTAAAAGTGACACAGATGATTACTATGGTGAAAATATTACTAAGTTAAAATAACTTTTTTTTAAGGAGGTTTCCACAAATCAAAAACTCTAGAAAAATAATCATAATAATAATGGATTGTATTTATATAGCGCTTTTTGAGACCCTCAAAGTGCTTTACAATTCCACTATTCATTCATTCACACACTGGTGGAGGCAAGCTACAGACAGAGGCTGCCATATTGCGTGTTTGGCCCCTCTGGCCATCACCAGTAGGCGGTAGGGTAGGTTAAGTGTCTTGCCCAAGGACACAACGACCGAGACAGACAGAGCTAGGGATCGAACTGGCAACTTTCCAGTTGCAAGATGAACTTCCCAACCCTCTGAACCACGGTGACAATAAAGACATGATGGTCATTGTGGCTGTCTGGATGGGGGCATGTTTATGAGTGTTGTTCTTTGTATAGGGACTTAAAAACTGAGAAATTCTCTGTACACTCCACCTACATATGTGGTTAAACATTTCTCAGTTATTGAGCCGTTGAAGAGCAAAATATCAAATATTTTAAATGTAATTGTTTGTAGCAGTGCTACAAGCTGATCGCCTCTATGCCACATCGCGTTGATGCAGTAAGCCAAGGGGAAGGAGCCTGAACTAAGCACCGAGTGTATAAATGAACATGCTTTTCCGAAGCTGGACATTATTTTATTGTAAATCCTTTTTTTTTAGTTGCTCTTATGAAAGATTATAATCTGATATTAGATACTAGATTTCTAACTTTCATGAGCTATAAGCCTGTATGCTGTTTGTCATATTCTTGCCTGGACATGTGCACCACATCCAGGGCTGCTGCTGCCATGTTTAGATCCCACCCTGGAAGTCCCCATTCTTCCCACTTTAAACTATCCGCAGTGGTTACCAGATCTTCTCTGCTGCGTCAAAATTGCAACCCTCATGGTAAAGAGGTTGAAAACACAGGGCATGCGGTGAGTGAAGATTGTGCTGCTGTGACTAAAAAACATTTTCACGCCAGGCCGCAGCACGGCTGAGGCTGTTTGCACCGAGTGGTCGTCTCACTCTGGGGTACTTCATTGGTGCATCAACCGGTGATTGTGAAAAGAAAGAAAAGGAGAAAACAGATGACGGATCATTTTCCCGAGGTGATAAATCACTCCAAGGTTTGAAAACTGCCTCAGCGGGAGCCAACTGTCATCACCATTGGCTTTATCTGACACCAAGTTTATGTGTGCTCGGAGGTAAGTTTGAGGTCAGCGGTTGCTAAGAACAGACTTCCAGTCAGGCATCTAAAGGTCGCTGCAGTGCTGGAAGCGGTCCAGGTATGCACAGTGACGCAACTTTAAACTCAATAGCAGCCAAACCAGGTGTGGTTTGTGCTTTCAGTGATCGTAGAGGTAGACGGTCACGCCGTGTGTATCCATTGGCTGAAAAAACTCAAACAAAATAAGGAGTAGGAAGGAATCATTTGATATTGCATAATATGATTTTAAGAGGCAGACTTTAGCTAATCATGTCTGCTATGGTGTAAAAGCATCTCATGCGATGTTTTCTAAACTATGATCAGTGCAAGTGCCTGAGTGGGTTTAGAGTGTCAACGCTGAGTCGTGTGTTTTGCAGCTCCCGGCAGGGTGGGGCCGAGGCTGCGAAATGAATCCAACCGAACAGGATTCAGCTGGAAGAGATCTGTGCTCCATACCATCACCAAGCAACCCGACTTGAACATGGATGACAAAAGGAACACGTGTATGCCTGTGAGTGTGTTTGTTTGTGTGCGTGCCTGTGTGTTTGTCTGTTGTTTGTCTATTTCTGTGTTTTTTG